ACCTCTCTGCTAATGATAATCTGTATTTGCAGCCGCTCCCCAGCGCTAGCATCACCTCAGCTCCACCTCAGATCATCAGGCATTAGATTCTCATAAGGAACACGCAACCTAGATCCTTCGCATGTGCAATTCACAGTAGGGTTCACGCTCCTATGAGAATCTGATGCCTCTGCCACTGATCTGACAGGAGGTGGAGTTCAGGTGGTAGTGTGAGTGATGGGGAGCAGCTGTAAATACAGATAAAGCTTCACTCACTCGCCCGCTGCTCACCTCCTGCTATGTGGCCTGGTTCCTAACAGGCCACAGACCAGTACCAGTCCGTGGCCCAGAGGTTGGGGACCCCCGAGTTATAAAATCCAGATGCAGAAGGTTACATTGTGTAGATAATGGAAATAACTAATTATTTGTATTAAATATAGTACCTAAATTATAAGGGGGCTTTCTATTGATTTTTTTTAACCAATTGTTTCTCATAACAAAATCAATATAGCATTTTAAAAGATACTTTGCTCAGTATGTGGCAGTCCTCTGTAAAGGATACTCAGATGCTAATCTTTCCATTCCTCTCTTGGTTCCACCATAAATTCATTGATGGAATGTTAATTCCTTGAAGTGCCAATAGTATAATTGATAGATTATAATTAATATTATACCACAAAGACAAAGATTAACATTAACACATTAACATTACTTGGCTTCTAGGGTTTTTTTTTTTGTACCTTTTAAAATATACAAACCAATAAATACAAATAACTTGTAATATTTAGTCCATGTTTTAAAGAGCAAAAAAAAAAGAAAAAGAAAAAGAAACATCTTCCACTATTTCTGAGGAAGAGAGACTGGGTTTAAATCAAAGATCTAGGGACTTCCCCCAGATAGACCTCATAATTATATTTGTTTCCAGTGAATTTGAGGTTCTTGATATCTCATTGCAGAAAGAATTCAGTGAGAGACGAAGTGATAGGTGGATTTATTTAGAGAGACATACACTCCAGAGACAGAGTGTGGGGCCATCTCAGAAGGCGAGAGAGCCCCGAAATATGGCGTGGTTAGTTTTTATGGGCTGAGTAATTTCATAGGCTAATGAGTGGGAGGATTATTCCAATTATTTCAGGGAAGGGGTGGGGATTTCCAGGAATTGAGCCACTGCCCACTTTTTGGCCTTTTATGGTTAGCCTCAGAACTGTCATGGCACTGGTAGTGTCGCTTACCATGCTAACGTATTACAATGAGCGTATGATGAGGCTCAAGGTCCACGGGAAGTCAGATCTTCTGCCATCTTGGACCTAGTTGGTTCCAACCAGGTTTTGTCATGTCCTATGGCTATGTAATTCTTTCAAAGGTTGTGCCCTGCCCTCTTCCTCCTGTTTCATTTTGACCATTGACTGCTGTGTGCATCCAATTTACCTACTTCTTGTATGTAAGTGTCTATTGCATTTTTCCTATGCCTTAGGTGTGTGAGAGCCAGATACCTTGTTTCTTTCCTTTACAAGTATTTAAATGAAGAGTAAGTGTAACAAAGGAAAGGACCTAAGGAGCCCTTCTATGCCTGGATCTAATTTAGCTTTCAAATTCCTAGGTAATAAACTTGACCCTGTTGCTATATTGGCATGAGACATTTGTTTGCATTGAAAGGAAACAGTGCATATTTTATGTGAGAGGAAAGAAGAGTTGTTAAAAGAAAAGATGTGGCTATTTAAAAACTTAGCCAGAAATATTCGGGTACATTTCTTATTAAGAGGTGATGTCTGTGTTCCCCACCCTGCCCCCAACCAGCTCCACCTTGAAGTTAAAATGCTTGTGCCTGCTTTGACAATGAAAATTATATGACATAACTTCTAATTCTGGGTCATAAAAGGCCACAAAACTTCGACTTTTTTTTCACTACAAAGCTCAGTCTTAGAGCCTATAGCCACTGCTCTGTGACAATGCCAACGCCACATGGAGAGGTCACATGTAGACATTCTGATAGACCCAGCTGAACCTAGCTTTTGTTTCATAAATTTTACATAGATGCTAAACAATGTGAATTTCACATTGTCAAGGTGTGGATTTTTCTGGCAGACACTTCCTTGTGGAGCACCTTGATCCTTTGAAGCCTTCTTGAAAACTATAGGCACGCATTAATTAGCTTTTTCCCTAGGGCAAGTGTAGCCTTCCTATTGACTGTGACTTTTCTTGGCCCCTGACTGAGTATAGTCTCACAAGTGTTCCAAGGGGATTCTACCTTCTGACTTTTCCAAACTTCAAAATCTCCTAGTTCTGTTTGGATTCTTGAAAATTTTGAATTTACATTTCTCCTACTGTTCTTTGCTTGGCCTCATGTATTCTAACCTTATGCATACAAAACTTAATATTAGACGCAGCCTCTAAGGGAATGTTTATGCAAATTTCCAAAGCACTCTAATCACTTAACTTTCTCTGCAAAATTACTCTGCCCAGCAAACTTTAGTCGCCTCACCTTCTCCTATCTCTCCTCAATTCAGCAACATCTCCAGGAGGCTCTTCTTGGCTGCCCTACCCTCCTTCCATCTCTGCACAGTGGACTGGAAAATGCATCCAGGCAGAAATCGGGGGCAAATTGTGAGGCTCTCCTCATTTCTCTCCCTCCTTTTTTATTCTCCAATATCTGAAAAAAAAAGTTATTTCATATAATTTGTCTAGTTTTTCAGTTATTTACAATAGGAGTGGAAGTTCAATTATAGTTACTCTTAATGACAAAAGCAGAAGTCTCCATTTGAATTTAATACCACAGGCACAGGGCATAAAATAGGAATACATGCCCATACATTAAATGATATAATAATCATAGTGGTATCCAAAATTTTAAGATATTGTTGTATACTTTTTATTCTTTGTCAAATAGTGCCAATAAAACTACTGAAAGCAAACGGCATTTTATATAATATTACTACAGTACTCTTACAGATTCCAATAATTTTAGAAATTTGACATTTTTATGATGTTGTTAATAGTAAATATGAAACTAAAATTCAAATACACTGTATTTAATATAAAATTTAAATTAATAATTTAGACTACAGAATATAATTTGATAGCTGAAGAAGTTTCTCTACTCAAAAAATAAGTGTGTGTGTATGGGGGGAATGTTCTTTTTCCTTTAAGAGATAATTTTAAGCTAGCTGAAAATGGCCTTTTTTCCTTTTGGTAAGAAAATACCATTTCACGACTATGCATAAATATTTGTTCTGTTCACTTTGATATGTTCCTTTTTTGAGGCAAAATCTATCGTATTTGCATAGGTAGAGTTGGAAGGCCTGTCAAAACTGTCAAACAGAAATATAAACAGAAATCTCAGCTCAGGAATTGCACAACTATTTTTATATTTAGTTAGTATGTCACAAAATGATTACAGTCATATTGTCTATGCCTATAAGAAAACTGAATTCTATATTTGAAATTATGATTATTTTGAAAAAAAGTATATAAATTCGCACTTTCTTGAATAAACTCAACAATTCCCACTGCTCTTCTCCTTGACTATTTCCTCCCTGGCAACTGCCTTCAAGCTCGATTTTTTTTTTTTTCTCATTTCTTGATGCCCTCATTTTGACACCTCTATTTATAATTCCTCACTGATTCAGTTAACCTCAAAAAGCACTCATAATTGAGTTGTCAGAGCCAAGAACTGAGTAACAGCTCGGAAAACCAAATACTGTGCAGCTGATCTGTTAAAAAAAAAAGTAGACTATCCAATAAGGAATCCGTCAAGAAATAGAGAATTCTTACTATAGAAAAATATGTAGGCACACTCCTTAACCCGAGAGCACTTTCCAGACTAATTCTGTATATGTACAACTGTTTGGCTCTTCCAGGAAATGCAGGCACACTGTCTGTTGATCAGAGTACTTTGTTCAATATCTTAACTCATTACACAGGTTGGACCGCATCTTTTGTCAGTGCACAGCACACAGAGAAACAATGATAAAAGGCAATTAGGCATTCTAAATTTAAAGTGGGTTTTATTTAAATCAGGAAGCACTTATTCTTCTGAAATGTATATTCCAAGCTTCAAACCTTAACTGTATCAGTAATGACAATGATCTCATGCAACACGGAAGAAACAAGAAAACTGCTCTGCCTTCAAAGACAAATTTGAAGGCTGATATGAACTTTGAACTGATGAAGATATTTACATTTACAAAAGAAGCTGTTTTCTGATATGTGAATTTTAGCAAAATTATGTGCAAAAACCGTAATAATGAAACATGAGTTTCTTATCTGCTAGAGAGAGGAAATTCAGTTGTGGGCTTTGCAGCCAAAAGACCTTTCAGTGAACTGATAGTTTTCCCCTTCCAACCAACTCCCCATCTTTTAAAATGCAATAAATCTGATTACTGACTAGACAATATTTTTGCCACAATTATTATTGCCAATCGGGGAACTGTTTTTGAGTACGCTCTGTTGCTGCGCTAGCAAATATTTCCGGGTGTGACTGATTTACAATAAGCGGTACTAGAATACAATGGTCGAGAGCACAGGCACTGGATTCAAATCGTAGCTCTAACGCCTCCCAGCTGTGTGATCTTGGGCATACCACTTAACCTCTGTGCCTCAGTTTCTCCTTTGGAAGAAATAAAAATAATCTTTAAAAACGGTTAAAACACTATTATTTTCTTCACTGAGTTGTCTAGAAAGTTTCCATGTATAAAAGTAAAGGCACCTGGTAAATATTAAGCACTAGGAGAGTTTGCTTCTATCATTATTACTATGCTGGTTTTTATCATTATCATGCTGCTGAAGAACAAGCAGAGTTCTGTCCTGCTTTGTCACGGTCAGTAATGAAGATGCTATGGACAAATCATTTAGGAGCATCTCGACGCTGGCAGCGGATTTAAAGAGGCGCCGATCAACGTGGAAGATCACCGCTCGCAACCCCGGGCCTGGCGCCGGGTAGGGGCGCGGCGCTCGATTTCCTTCCCTGCCTCCGCCGGCCCTGGCGCGCATGCTCAGTCCTGCTCGGCCAGCTGCTTTGATTTTTTTTTTTCTTTTTTTTTTTTCCTGGGTGGCCGTAGCGACCCGGGACCGGCTCCGGGATGGGGAGTGAAGTCCCCGGAGCCGCGGCGGCGGCGGCGGCGGCGGCGGCGGCGGCGGCGGCGGCGCCTTGAGAAGCAGCCACGGGGAGGCAGCTGCCGCTCGTCGGTGAGTAACTGGGAAGCGCCACCATGACGTTTCGTAAGAAGGGCTCCAAGAACCCCCCAGTCCTGAGCCAGGAATTCATCCTGCAGAATCATGCGGACCTTGTCGCCTGTGTGGGGATGTTCTTCGTGCTGGGGCTCATGTTCGAGGGAACAGCAGAAGTGTCGATCGTTTTTATTACTCTCCAGCACGGTGTTACCTTCCCTGCCGAAGAAGCAGAAGAAAAAGCCACAGCACCTAAGTTCCTTTATCATTATGGTGCCAAAGATTTGGCCACAGTGTTCTTCTACATGCTGGTGGCAATCATCATTCACGCCACTATTCAAGAGTATGTCTTGGATAGAATTAACAGGCGAATGCAGTTCCCCAAACCGAAACAAAGCAAATTTAACGAATCTGGTCAGTTTAGTGTATTCTTCCTTGTCTCTTGTATTTGGGGCACATTCATTCTACACTCTGAAAACTGCCTGTCAGACCTGTCTGTCTTATGGAGGGCTCATCCCAATAACATGATGACATTTCAGATGAAGTTTTTCTATATCTCACAGTTGGCTTACTGGTTTCACGCCTTTCCTGAACTCTACTTCCAGAGAATCAAACCTCAAGATCTCTCCCAGCAAGTTGTCTACGTTGGTCTTCACCTCTTTCACATTGCGGGAGCTTACCTCTTGTACTTGAATCACCTGGGACTTCTTCTTTTGATGATGCATTATTTTGTGGAATTCCTTTCCCACTTTTGCGACCTGTTTTATTTTAGCGATGAAAAGTACCAGAAAGAGTTTTCTCTGTGGGCCATTGTGTTTATTTTGGGTCGACTCGTGACTTTAATTGTTTCTGTGATCACTGTTGGTTTTCACCTGGCTGGAGGGCAGAATGGGAATTCGGACGGCACTACCGAAGATGTGAACGTGTTGGCAGCGAAAATTGCTGTTCTGTCATCCAGTTGCACTATCCAAGCATACATAACATGGAATTTATTTAATGTTCAGCTTCAGAGGTGGATGGAAGAAGATGCTCCTCTTCAGGCCCCAAGTGTGAAGAAGAAACGGACTAAGGGCAGGTTTTCTAGAAAAGGAACAGAAAACGGTGTGGCAACTTCAAATAGAGTAGACTCTCCCCATATGAGGAAAGAAAAATCTTCATAATGAATTGCAAGTTAATTGACTAATGTCTCTAAAGAAGTCTGCTCTTTGCTATAAGATACCTTTCTTCGCTGGAGACTTTTCTGTTCTTGAAAATAGTCTGTGCTGTCCTTGATTTCTGCTACTGTACTGTGTAATGTATGTTTTTAAAAGGCATTTGAGGGGAGGATGATTATTATGAGTGGAAAAATATTTAGTTTAGACTAAGCTACTCATCATCAACATGGTTTAGGGATTGCTATATTTCCTTTTTTACCTTTGAACATTTTCCTAATTTGTAGAGATAACTCCAAAGCTCCACGTATCAGTGACACAGTTCTTGCTCCCACCAATCTTTTGTAACGTTAACAAGATGGTCTTTTATAGCAATGACATATTTTTAATGTTCTCTTCTAGGATAAAATAGAAACATTATAAATCTGGAAGTCAATTTCATTAAGTTTTCCGTATTCCCTAATTCTTAGAATGTTTTTTTTTTTGAATTGACAAGTGGAGAAGAGATTTGTAAAGCCAACAAAATAATGATGTATTTTGTAGGTAGTGGTTGTTAGTGTTACATCCCACTAAAAAAAACCAAGATACTAATGGTTAACATGTGGAGACTTATTGCCATATATTGAATCAAAATATCTTGAATCAACATTATTACTAAGAGGAAAAATCATACTTGTCCATTTTAAACACTTGTAAACTGGAAATCAGAAAATTAAAGACTGTTAAAAGGAAATCAGACTTAAATAACTTTTTTGATATGTGTATTAAAAATCATTCTTCATGAGTGGTATCCACAGCATCTTAGAAGAATATTGTTTAACCTGTAAATCATTTTGAAAAACAATGCTTACTTGATTTATATCTATAAAAAGAATGTCATCTAATTACATGTTGAAAACATTTAATATGCTAACTTTAAATAATGTGAAAATCATATTCTTATGAAGGCTTTTCAAAATAATGTTATAAATATAGCTTTGCTTCCATCTTTAATTGGGAAACATTTATCTGTATAAGACATATTTTGGAGATATATATGTGTATATATGTACATATATGCATATATGTATGTGTATATATGTGCATATATGTATGTGTATATATGTACATATATGCATATATGTATGTGTGTATATATAGGTATATATAGGTATATGTTGTATCTTTAGAGAAACCAGTGGACTGTAGTGGTATTTATTATATTTATTTTCTTCTCTCAACCTTTAGTTTGATTTTATTTCCATAATGTGAGTGCTTATATTTTTTTCAGGAGACAGTGCTTTAAAAATATGCTAGGATAAGGCCATATATTTCCTATTCCTCTCTATATTCTCCTACCATGTCTCTCATATCTCTGCTTCTGATAACCTTCCATTTGGCTTGTTGTAAGTAATTCAACTTTCCCAATCATGGGGTTCCCTGCAAATTAAACTTATACAGGTATATTGCACACCAAAGACAGAGGAGCCACGCTTGGCAAAACATTCTTTTCTATTCTTTCTGCTTTGAGAGGTACATAACAAAGCAAGATTGTTTCTGTTTTGTCTGTAGAATCCATCATCCTACTATTTCTTTTTTTCTCAGTTGCCAAATACAATAGTTTTGGTAGCACATGCTCTAGGTCCAAAGTACAATAACTTCACTTTAACCAACCACCATGCAATTGTAAAACAAAGATTTTTCAGAGTGGTCTTTTTTCTCACTTCCCTCACTTTTACTTGTTTTTTTTTTCTTTCAGTACGCGGGCCTCTCACTGTTGTGGCCTCTCCCGTTGTGGAGCACAGGCTCCGGGCGCACAGGCCCAGCAGCCATGGCTCATGGGCCCAGCCGCTCCGCGGCATGTGGGATCTTCCCGGACCGGGGTACGAACCCGTGTCCCCTGCATCAGCAGGCGGACTCTCAACCACTGCGCCACCAGGGAAGCCCTTCTCTCACTTTTAAAGAATTCTCCCCTGTTACTTGTAACCTCATTCCTGGTAACAAATTTCTTATCCATTATGTATGTAATTCATTTTCCAATAAGTGCAGACCTGATTCAAACTGGCAAATGATTGCAAGAAAAGTATTTCCTCACATGACTGGCAATGCCAAGAGCTAAATTGTGATTGACATTAAACATGATTCGGGCCCAGATCAATTTCCCTGGGATTTTCTAGGGCTCTGTTCCTCTCAGATTGTCTTTTTGGCAGCAAATGACTACAGATGTTCAAGGCTTCATATCTGCACACTACATACATGGTAGAGAGGAAGAGAGGAAATCTGATTTCTAGAATTCCCAAAACACTGAGAGTTACTTTTACTGAATTTATTTGGTATAGGGTTGGGCTGGTTGGTTAAATTAGTTTATATGCTTCACCCATGCAAAAAGGCAAAGCCCCTTTCCTGTAAGATGTGGGTCAACAAGAAGTAGCAAGGTTGAGGACAAAAAGGGGAAGGATGCTGGGTACATCTCAACTATTCATAAGAGTTCAATAAACGTTTCCAGAAAATAAATGTATGCCAAGTAAATTATGAAAGCAACACTATAAATAAAATTCAGCACAATACAAATTGCTAAGTCTCCCCCTTTTAGAAATTACATTCAGAAAAACATGCCATAAGAAAGGTCAGCGTGACAATTTGGTTTCTATCAAAATGAATCACATGGAAACAAAAATTTCCATTATCATTATTCAAGGTATTATTAAAGCAGGCATTAGTTAACCCTTTGAAAAGTCAAATAACCAATTGATCACCAAATGTTGTCAAAGTCATAAAGATGTATCTGATTATTGAATTTGAAGATATTTGTCTGATTTATTGGCTTCAATGCTTGCTAAGCTGTATTCTTTAAGTACATCTACAGGTATAGAATTTCTAGGATGGATTTAGAGTGAATTTTCCTTAAAAAATTATTCTGCTAGCATTTATTTAAAAGTGTATCTCATTTTTTTAAACAAATAGTAGAAATGTGTTACTAAACCTACATGTCTCATAAGAAACAAGCACGCTATTTTCCTAGTGATCAGTATAATTCTTCATTTCATTTCAGTAAGGAAGCAACATCCTGCAGCTATTTCTTCATTTATCTTTCATCAATATTTAACTATCAGTAGAGGAAATATGTATAGCCAACCGTGTGCTGACTTGGAATAGATTCTCAAGAATATTAGAGTTACAACATTACTATTTTAAAGCTATCTTGAAGACATAAAATATTCTGATATCCTTTTAATTTGGAAAAACCTGGGTAAAGTTTTAAGTTCTCACTCAATGAGACTAAATGAGAATAATTTATATAGAGTAATAAAAGACATTACTGATGCTTTACATAGGAAAGGAAATATTGGTGCAGTTCCTGAGATGAAATTCTTGGGGGGAAATATCCTTGTGAATGTGTCATGCTGGGGCGACTAGGACTTGTGTACTTGAATCATGGCAGAGAATGCGTTCCAGTTGCGATCACAGACCATTGTAATCTGGTGACTTGCCTGTATGAAGAGGATAGATAGTGTGGGTGGGTGAAAGGAAGTAATAGAGGCTTAATAACAGATCAGATTACCAGAAAGTTAATACTCCCACTTCCTGAATTTCTCTGGAAATGGAGGACTATTTTTTACTGCCATCTTGCAATCTACATTCTGTAAGAAACTTCCACACTAAATAAGACAGAGTAGTATCTGCCAATTCCCCTCAATTATGTAGAAAAATTATCATAAATCCATTATACAAAATCCCCTACATTTCTAAATGTTAAATTAGAATTGTTCTCATGATTATACAGTCATATGACTGTCTAAATTTTGGCCTCTAAATCCCGAAAAGCAAATCCTTTTTAGGCCCTGCACCACCTCTGGCACTTCTAAGTATTCAATAAATGTAGAAAAAGTCAAACATTAAGAAAGCTGCCTCTGAGGCAATTCACCTGCTTTGTCCCATTGTGTTTGGGGCTACTGCACTGCGTCAGCTAATCTTTTTCATTTTACAATTTGAAAAATACATTGATATATAAACTGGCCATTTCAGGGGATACTTAAAAAACTTAGGAAATGACAGTGGTATGTGGTTAAAGATTTGCTTAAATTTTAACGTGAACAGAATTAAATTAACTTCACAGTAATGATGTGTACATCTTCTATCCATCATAAAAGTGATTAGAGTTGCTGTTAAGGGACATGGCTACTCAATAATTCAGGCAACATACCTATTTTAAATAAAGGGAAAGTGACCTTCCTAAATTAAAAGTAAAGAATACTGAATTTCAATACCAACAGCACTATTCCCCAAATCAAATCAGGCCAGTGCACAGAATCTCATGGCTTGAGGAAAATTTGAGAAAAGAGAACATTTCCTCATGCCTTAAGGCATGGGATTTCACCTAAGCCATCACAGGCTGAAAGTATATACATCCCAAGATATATTTAATATTTCTTCCTCTCGCTGCTTTTATTACCTAATTAATTTTTTAAAAGCTGTTCCTCAAATACAAAATTACCAAAATATGTAATTTGTAAATTTTATTACATTGTTTTAAAAAATATGTTTCCAGTTATATTGTTATAAATTCAGCAGAGGAGGGTAATAATATGATTATGATAATGGTTAACCAAAGAAGTCAGGGTTAAGCCCTTGCTGTGACCCTTAGAGCAGTGTGAACTTTGGAAGACCCCTAAACATTCTAAGTCTTGGATCGCATGTCACTAAAATGACAAAGATATTTATATATTTCAAAAGTTACTATAAAGATTGAAAATATATGCGTATACAAAGTCATAAATTATGTGTGTATTTGTATGAATACTGCTTTTGTTAACAGATGTGGCTTAAGATAACACTTGTTCATGTGTTGTCTCTATATATAATTTTACATTTTATAAATGTATACAGTCTCAATACATACATATATGCATGTATGTGTTTATGCATACACATATATGTACATATGCACACACACAGATTTCCCCTATACATTTACATACTTATTTTTCAATAGACTTTATTTTTTAGAGCACTTTTAGGATTACAGCAAAACTAAGCAGAAAGCACAGAGTTCCCATGTATCCCCTGATCCACTCGCCCCACAACACACACATGTATAGCTTTCCCCCAGCATCCTGCATCATGGTGGTACACTGGTTATAATCAATGAACCTACACTGACACATCATAATCACCGCAAGTATATAGTTTACATTAGGCTTCACCCTTCGTGTTGTACATTCTATCAGTTTTGACAAACATATAATGATGTGTATCTACCATTATCGAAGAAAATAATTTCATCGTCTAAAAATCCTCTGTGCGCCACCTATTCATCCTTCCCTCCCCATGCATTTTTAAGCACTATACAAATGTATGGCATTGAGTTTTCCCTCACGTCTGGGTAGGAAGCAGTAGAAAATTCAAGTATAGCCATAGTTCCACCTCTGTATCTAGCTGATATTTAATAAGGAATCCTTTCCCCAAATGTATGAACTATTGTTTACTAAATATATAGTGTACATTACAAATATATATCACTAAAAATGTATATAAATTATCTTCTGAGTAAATGCACACTTATTAAAGTTAACTAAATTCATAGTGACTATAGACTATTTTTTACATAAATGATAGAAAATACAAATCTATGAAAACCCTTCATATATATTAATTCTGAATATAGGTCCTTATTCTTGAAACATTTGAAACCATTGGTCTAGGTAACTTATCATAAGAATAAAAATTAAGTTCTTATCATATTCAAAATTAAATTTCAGACCAAATAAATGAACTAAGCATTTATTTTGGAAAATCAAAGAGCGTCAACAAACATTTTAGTAGTAATCAGTACTAGACAACAAGCTCCATGGTATCAGGTAATATACATTTTTCATCATTGCCTTCTCATTAATTAACATAGTGTCTCATAGTTAGTAGTTATTCAAAATTTGATGAACTCAGTTGAAATAACCTTTTATTATTAAAACAAATTAGCAAACAAACTTAGTAGAGCTTTCCTTTGCTATCTCCTTTAATATTGACTTCCTCTCCTTTTTACACCCTTTTCCGATTTGAAATATTAATTATTGATGTATTGCTTGTTTATTGCCTGTCTCCTATACCAGTTTGAGGTCTTTGGACATGTGTCCTTAAATCACTAAGGTAACCTTAGCATCTAGCATAATCTTTAGTATACAGGAGCATGCACTAAAAATGTGTTGCCTGACAATAAACTCAATGATGTGGAAACAGGGTATACATTATTTATTGGCCCACATGTGCCTTAAAAAAGCTAAGACATTTAAACTAATAATTTGTTGTTAAACCTCTTAAGTGAAAACCCTGCCACCAAATACTAGACTTTTGTTTAAAAATGGCTACATATCATGTGTCATCCTAATGGCATTTGTGATTTGCCAAACTTTTTGAAATTTGAGTCCTTTTTCTAAGTTAAGAGTTAAATTAGGGCTTCCCTGATGGCCAGTGGTTAAGAATCCGCCTGCCAATACAGGGGACACGGGTTCGAGCCCGGGTCTGGAAAGATCCCACATGCCGCGGAGCAGCTAAGCCCATGCGCCACAACTGCTGAGCCCGTGTACCACAACTACCGAAGCCCGCACGCCTAGAGCCCATGCTCCGCAACAAGAGAAGCCACCGCAGTGAGAAGCCCGTGCACTGCAAGGAAGAGTAGCCCCCTCACACCGCAACTAGAGAAAGCCCATGTGCAGCAACGAAGACCCAACGGAGCCAATAAATAAATAAATAAATGTATATTAAAAAAGTTAAATTAGTGTCTTCTAAATATCAAGCTGCTATTAGAATCCTCAATATAAGAACCAGGATGTCATTTTGAATGTGCACATGAATAGAAGATGCGACATTTGCTCCACATCCTCAGCAGCACTTTTGTCATTGTGAACAAGGGGAAAAAGCTTTTTGAAAACTTGCAAAAGACTAAGGGAGGGAAACGCTTTATAGTGGGAAGGGACACCAAGATTTTATATTGGTCAGTAACATCTCACATGCTTTTTAGACATCCTCACATACTCTTGGACCTCAGAGGAATGGGCAAAGCTGAAGACATAAATTTGGCAGTCACCAGCATAATGACAGTGTTTAAATCAAGACACTGACCAGGGTCATCTAAGGAGAGGGTATAAATAGGGAAGGGAAGAAGTTCCAGTGCTTAGCCTCGGAGCCTTACAACAGATGGAAATCAAGCTGTGGAATTAGAGCCAGCAAAGGAGACTCACTGATGGCTGATGTGGGAGGAGAAAGATCAAAAGACCAAGGATACGCTGCAACACAGAACCCAAACCTTGAGTGATGGCTGATGAGGTAGTCAAGAAACAAGAGTAAACAGTGTTGGAGAACCCAAAAGAAAAGTGTATTGAGAGGGTGAAGATATCAGTTACATCCAATACTATTGAAAGTTCAAGATCCTTAAGATTAGAAATAAATAAAGCCTGGATTTGCAAGATGTAGGTCACTGGAGACATGGGTGAGATCAATTTCAGTAGAGTTATGGGAATGAAAGCCCTTTTGGAATAGATTGAGGAGAGAATGGAAGATGAGAATGTGTGACGTGATATTACAAATACTTTCTCAACAAATGTCTGTGTGAATTAGAGCAGAGGAATGGAAACACATCCCAGTGTGCAGTAAACAAAGAGGGATATGGTGTCAGGAAGAGTTGGTTTTGATGTTATTGTTGTTTTTAGGATGGGAGAGATTAGAGAAGAGGTGTATATTTGTAGACTGAAAAATAGATGAGATGACAGAGGAGACAAGGATGACAACTGCAAGAGGAAGCCCAGAGGACATGAATCCACTGAGGAAATGCATATACAACGTGGATTCCTGATCTGAAAAGAGAAATTTTAAATTAAATAAATCTCCAGTTCACATATTTTTAGGCAATATTTGGAACATCTGCATACAACAGATACATACAGGAAAATTTTAGGTATAAAATATAAATAGATATGTATCTTATATTTTATACATATGTATATATGTCTTTGCCTTTATTTTATATTCCATGTTACTGCATTATAGTAGATTCAGATTTATCATTACTACCATTAAAATTCAAGCAGAAGTAATAGTATAAAATATTTGAAAGGATGGCATTAGTTGATCCTTGCCCTTTTTTCCCAATATGTGCTGTTCTAACTTAAGGCAAGCAATTTTGTTTTCTCTCAGAAGAAAAGAAAATCTATTCAAATGGGGGAGACAGTGAACTAAGCATTTGCAGTTGGCCTCTCTCATTGGCTAACAATTGACAAACAATTCATATCATTCTGTAGGGATTGCGTGGATGTCTATCTTGGTTAGTCAGTGAAAGAACCTGTCAAACCCAATAGAGGGTGATTGTCCCAAAAGAACAGCAGATTCATCAAAAAGCTTGCAAAAGTGTGTGCAAATATTAGTTATGCAACTAGCCAAACTCATCATTTCTATTAGCATGTATTCCATACTTCTCATATCCTAGTAATACTTTAGATGTTCAGTTCTCTTAAATTCTTTCTAATAATGTAATGCACAACCATTACTCATAACAGTAAATATGTGTCACATTTTAAGATTTTAAAGTTTTGTTTTTTGAAACACAATTCTAGGATTCCATAGGTTCAGTCGTCTTGTCATTTGGGCAGCTGGGCCATTTATTCAGTGAAATTCTAGCAACCAACCACCAGATACCTTTAAACTCTAATCAGAAAGTAGCTTAACCCCAGCAGCCATAAACTCAGAACCTATGTAATGCCTTTAACTACAGAACTGCTGTTGGAATTTTTTATATATTGCACCACATTCCAAGTTGGAATTGAAATCTACTATAGAGGCTTGATGAAAATGGGTGAAATCTATTCTCTCTAAATCATATATCTATTCATACTACTAATTAAAATATATATTAGAAGAAAAAATGCATATTTATAAGACAGATTTTTTTGTTTAGCTCTTTATATCTTTAAAGACCTATAGAAAATTTTTAAATGTTATCTTTAACTTGTATATAGCAGAGTCAAAACTGTAACCAAATTTATAACTTGTAGGGAAAAAATAAAATCCATAATCATGAAAGTGCCAACAAGCAGAATTAGCAAATACTACATGCATTTACATTATCATCAAATGATGAAAAGATATTTGAAAGTAATATATCTTGGGCTTCCCTGGTGGCGCAGTGGTTGGATCCCACATGCGGCGGAGCGGCTAGGCCCGTGAGCCATGGCCGCTGAGCCTGCGCGTCCGGAGCCTGTGCTCCGCAACGGCAGAGGGCACAACAGTGAGAGGCCCGCGTACGACAACAAAAAAAAAAAAAAAAGAAAGAAAGTAATATATCTCTAGCTATAACGCACCGATCTTTTTTTCCTTTACTTTGCCTCTTGGTTACTAATTTTTTTCTCTCCATCCCTGCTTTCCAACAAATTCAAATATAATGCATTTCAAAGGCACCAGGTATTCATTAGATTCTGAGAAAACAGAAGATCTGAGATTTTCTTCTGAATTGAAGTTTCTGTCTTTCCATTCAGTTATCATGACTAGGACTAAACAGAGCTAATGACAAGTTTTTAAAAAAGAGAGAAAAGAAAGTATGCTTTATTGAAATCCACATCAAGAAGAAAAAATAACTCCTGATATTTTTAATCAAATTAATTATCCATGCCAATAATACTAACTCATAGTAAAACATACAAGAGACTCTGGAATTCATTAACACTACTTAAATGTCTCATTTCACTGCATTTTGGAGGCTGGATTTTTAATATTACTGTGTGTTAACAAAAATGAATTATTTTGAATGTGATTTCTCCCATTTAAAAATAGCTTATACCACACTCTATCACATATATAAGTATTAGAATAAAATAAAACAACACAAATTTTATGGATAGTTGAGGTTCAAATTTATGCAGTATGTCTGATAAAATCATGTGATTGGGGAGAAGGGAGGGAGAAACAAGTCCAAAAGATGACAAGATAAAAGTCAGCATGGGAAGGCTTTAGTGTACCTTTTTTTTTTTTCCTAGGTAACTAGTGACAGTTCATGAGTATCACATGGAACAGTCACTTCAGATAAAACAGCATTGCTGTTACTTGAACTTGCTCCAAATTTGGTGATAACACTTACTTACCTCTTTAGGCCTAAACTTCTATAAAAGAATATGCAATAAAGATTGGGGAATCATTTCCCCATCTTAGAAGAAAAGTGAGTCTTAGCAACCAAAATAAATTCAGCTCCATTCCTTAAGATTTATTGTGTGCTTAGTATATTCCAGGCCTGGTGGTGGTAACCAGAGAGGATACAATGATACATAACATGCCCAGTGGCATGTTGTAGTCATGTGGCATCTAATCTTGAGAATCAGCCACAGTGCAATACCCAGAAGTTGTCTAGAAGAGTAAAGAGTCAGATGACCTTGGAAAGACAAATACAGTGGTGCAGTGTGCCTTGGCTTCTATAAGGTCTCCAGTGGCAGTGCTGTGGCGAGAGGCTCAGGTACAAAAGCATACATCCTGATTCCCACAGAGCCTTGAGTATCTGTGGAAAAGAATGAATTCAGTGTTCAGCATCACTTGCTGTCACCCTGTGAGTCCCCAGCATTAGTGTGGTCAGGAGGGGCAATGCCAAGGGCAGTGGGATAGCCAGAGTTCCCCTGCTGAGTGTAGAGGAATCAGTGAGCTGGGTGAAAGGGTAGGGGTGGAAATGGCACAAACCCTGGTTCAAGGGGATAACATGCTGACCTGTAGCCGAGTGGAGATGGTAGGGGAAGAAGAGCTGGAAACAACTTGGGAGAGTTTGTGAGACTACACACTAGAGAGAGGAGGGCAAACTCAAAGGAATCGATAACTCTAGAAGTTACACTTGTTGAAATTCCCGTGCAAATGATGTGCTTGGTGTGGCCTGGAGAAGACAACTAGCCCGTTAAAATATGTCATAATGAAGACAGTTCAATGTGATAGATCACATGGAAGCCATTTAAAAAAATACAAAAAAACAAGTATAATTTACCAAAATATAGGCAGACCTAAAGTTTAATGTATGATTGTGTGAGAATAGTGGAAAACCTGAGAATATTTGTAAATTAGAAATGGAGTCACAGGTATCTACTTCATACTTTGTATGAAATTCTGTGACAGCTGTTTGAATTAATCTTCAAGGCCCTGGTGGGAGCATCTCTTTACTGCATCACTTATTATCTTCCTACGTGATGGTCCTTAGTAACTATGCCCTTCAATAGTCCCCTCACTGGAGTCACTCTGGGAATGTGACATTATTAAAGAAAAATACTTGATCCCTGTTTTAAACCTTGGAGAGGAGAAAATGTGACTGGGTTAAATGAAAGTGTCAAACAGGAATAGGGTCTAGCAGGGAAATCTATAGTGGACTGCCAATCGTTGTCCACTGGGGCAGGGCTATCACAATGACCTCCAACTAATTCTGCAACTTTTTAATGTGCAGCGCTGCTCGCCAGCAACTCCTATCTTGTGAAGTTCTCAGAGACTGATTTTGCTTCCCGGGGAAATGCTGTTTATTCCCATCTGCGTTCAAGGTTGTTAAAAAGAAAATCATTTGCCTTTCCCTTACCTTAGGGCATTCTTGGAGAATGACACCACCATGGCTTTTTTTTTTAATATTGACATTTGTTGTCAAATAATGTTTTCTTCTAAATTATTCTAAAAAGAAAGAGAGTTGGCATGTATTTAGGGAATGTTTTAAATAAGAAGCAACTTCAGTATTGACTCAAATAATTTGATCCAATTGTTCTAATTTAAAACAATAAAACGTAAGGAGGAAAACAAATCTTGTCTTTTTAGTTATTCCCATGTATTTTGCTTAAGAAATACTTTTATCAAATTAGAAACTTATTTTACTATATTTACATTGGTATTACAAAATATCTAGTTTTATTTTACAAAATATTTTAGTTTCTACACGACAGAGTTAATCTTCTTGGTGATTATGACAAAGGCCTTAAATTCTTAAAGTTAGTAAGCTTTCCTCATTATTTAATATCTGTTTTTTCCCCAATACATTATTTTTAAATATTGGAAGAAAAGAACAAATGAACAAATCCTGACTATTACATAAGATTTTGCTGAAATTAATCTACAAATAAAGATTTATGAGACAACTATTCACAAATAATTGACTTAAATTCTCCACTTTTACTATCATTTTTGAAAGTTATGTTTTATCAATTGAAAGACATATAATAGAGAGATTAGAAGTTTTATATGCTTATAGATATCAGAAAAAAATCTAAATTTCAATACCATTATTAGAATAATTAGATTTTTATGTTATTCATCAGATGCAATAAATTATTATAACATCAAATATATCAAAGCTTCATAGCTATTCAAGCTAGTCCTGACCCATACTGTTACATTTCAATTATGGCCATCATTGCAATTACTATGCTGTTTTAACTTATATATTTTGATCACTTTCTCCCTCACTAAACTGTGAGAGGATCGTGGAAACTGAAAACCTTTGTGGAATGGAACATTTCCATTCGTAAAACGCTTGCTTATTTTTCTAATTGGATAAGCCTGTTCTCATTTATCATGGAAATGGTATTGTTTACAGGCAAGAAATTGGGCTTCATTAGGGTTTAGCAGAAGAGAAGTGTGATAGAATTTCAAGGAATTATTAGGATAAATGCTCCAATTATCACCTTTAGCAATTATTAGACAATAGTAAACAGCTTATTGTTCATTATCTTGATCAGCTTACATTCATAATGGATTTAGATCATTTATGGCCAATTAAATCATAACTACTTGAGTACAGAAATCTTATGCTTTTTTATATGCTTTAAATTCCCAGCATATAGTATGATGACTTGTTAAAAATTGCACTTAAAATCATATATTTTATTGATTATACTGATAAAAGGGTAATTCTACTTTCAATGCAGCAAGTATTAACTAAGTGCCTACTGTAACCAATACCACATTCAGGCATGCAGCTAACAGTAAGGAAAATGCAGTCCCTCCTCTCACTGAAGGAGACTAGTTACCAAGTGGGTATAATACTCTCTGTTAAGCAATCTAATTGGGTGGGTTATTCATGCTATGGGAAACTAATCTAGTCTAACTGGTTAAGAAAGAACATCAAAGAACTGATGACTGTGATGAGAACTGTAGGAAAGTAGAAATTAGACAATTTAAACAGTGGAATATACATTTTCCAGACAGAGAAGAGCACCTGGAAAGGCTCAAAATTGAGAGAGGACATGATGACAACATTGTTAGAATATAGAGCACAAGTGAGGGAAGAAACAGAGATCTTGAATATCATACTAAGAAATGTATATTTAAGATTCATAAATGTTCATTGAGATGTTTTACCAGGATAATCACATGATCATGTTTTTATTTAAGTAAAATATTGGTAGTGGTGTGGAGAATGAATTGGAGAGAATGAAATAATCAATTTGAAGGATGTTTCATAAACCTATGCAAAAGGAATTATTGTAATCTATACAAAAGTAATAATAAGAATGAAGAATACACATTCCAAAGCTATGAATAGCATAGTGTCAGTAGAATTTGGTGCTAGATATGGACTATGAGAGAAAAAGCGTGTTAAGGATTTATGACCCTTCAACTCACTGGCGTGGGTAAATCAGCAGCTGGTGCTGCTGTTTTCTGAGACATTTCTGAGAAAGGAGAAATGAGTTTTTGGACTAAAATTAATTGAGTTTTAAGGTATTTTCAAACTGAGTTGCTCTTGAAACAAGAAGAATATCAAAATATAGGGTATCAACACCACCAAAATATACTGCACTTGAGATGGGGAGAAAGAGCTCAGATGGAAATAGATACACTTTGGAAAGTAACCATTGTATGGATGATAAATGAAGTCACATTGTAGGGTGAAATCACAATGAATGAATATGTAGAGGGAAAAATTAAAGGGTTTATGAGATATCTATGGATGGGTAGGTAAAGGAAATATATTAAAGGACCTATGAAAGAATCCTTAAAAATACTGAGCAGCATTCCTAGGAACAAACAGATAGTGTCTTTACCAAGGCAAATGCTTAAATAAAGCAATAAAACCAGCAGGATCTACTCCTGGTAACTCTCTTATCTCTGGTCCAACAAAATGCACATTCTAAGAATTGGAGATGTTAAATTGGTTAAATTATTTAGCAAAAAACAAACAAAAAAACCCCAAAACTTCTTTCATTCAGTTTTCCAGATATTAAAATCATTGCCAAAAATAATTTTACAAAGAAATAAGCATTTCACAATAAATCAAATAATAAGTACACAAAGAAGCAAAGTATCATGAACATATGATAGCTGACAGAAAAGGACTTTCATATACTAGTGTTAACAGATTTCTTGTACTAAACATAACACCAGAGATTTCAAAACTAGGATTAGTGTGTTAAAAGAATAACACAAGCTTGATGATATTTTCAGGGAACAGGAAACTATAAAATGTGATGTAACTGACTTGGATAGAGAATAGAAGTTCAAGAAAAAATATATATAATGAGGAAAATTTAAAACTTAATGAAATAAACAACAAATTAGAAACATTTGAAGCTGGAGGTGATGTCAGAAAAAAATAAGATAAAATAGCACAGGGAACAGGGAAAATAAAGATTAGGATGAGAATGTCTAATATGTGTTTAGCTGGAGTTCTAGGAAGAGAAGCAAGGGAAGAAGCAGAGGTCATATAGAAGGTAATAGCTAGAAAGTTTCCAGAACTGTCAAACAACACCAATCTTTACATCCAACAAGCCTAGTAAATCTCAGAAACACTGAACACACACACCTAATAATATCATAGTGTCACTTCAGAAAACTAAGTGCAGAGAGATGGTCTTAAACATTTCTAGAACAGACCATGTTTTCTCCATTGTATATTCTTGCCTCCTTTGTCATAGATTAATTGACCATAAATGTATGGGTTTATTTCTGGTTTCTCTATCCCCTTCTGTTGATCTATGTGTCTGTTTTTGTGCCAGTACCATACTGTTGTGAATACTGTAGTTTTGTAGTATAGTCTGAAGTCAGGGAGCTTGATTCCTCTAGCTCCTTTCTTCTTTCTCAAGATTGTTTTGGCTATTCAGGGTTTTTGTGTTTCCATACAAATTTAAAATTATTTGTTCTAGTTCTGTGAAAAATGCCATTGGTATTTTGATAGGGATTGCATTGAATCTGCAGATTGCCTTTGGTAATATGGTCATTTTCACAGTGTTGATTCTTCCAACCCAAGAACACAATATCTCTTTCCATCTGTTTGTGTTGTCTTCAATTTCTTTCATCAGTCTCATAATTTTCTGACTACAGGTCTTTTGCCTCCTTAGGTAGGTTTATTTTAGATATTTTATCCTTTTTCATGTGATGGTAAATGGAATTGTTTCTTCAATAAGTGGTGCTGGGAAAACTGGTCAGCTACATGTAAAAGAATAAAATTAGAACATTCACTAAACCATATACAAAAATAAACTCACAATGGATTGAAGACCTAAATGTAAGACCAGATGCTATAAAAACTCCTAGAGGAAAACATAGGCAGAACACTCTTTGACATAAATCTCAGCAATATTTTTTGGATGCATCTCCTAAAGTAAATGAAATAAAACCAAACATAAACAAGTGGGACCTAACTGAACTTAAAAGCTTTTGCACAGTAAAGGAAACCACTGACAAAATGAAAAGACTACCTATTGAATGGAAGAAAATATTTGCAAATGATATAACCAATAAGGGATTAATATCCAACATATATATAGATAACTCATAAAACTCAATATCAAAAAAACAAACAACCTGACTTAAAAAATGGGTAGAAGAACTGAATAGACATTTTTCCAAAGAGAAAATGCAGATGGTCAACAGGCATATATGAAAAGATGTTCAACATTTTTAGTCATCGGAGAAATGCAAATCAAAACCACAATGTGATATTACGTTACACCTGTCAGAATGGCAATCATCAAAAAGAACACAAATAACAAATGTTGGCAAGAATGTGGAGGAAAAGGTACCCTTGTACACTATTGGTGGCAATGTAAATTGGTGCACCCACTCTGGAAGTCAGTATGGAACTTTCTCAAAAAATTAAAAATAGAACTATTACCATATGACCCAGCAATTCCACTCCTGGGTATATATCTGAAACACACAAAAACATTAATTAAAAAAGATACATTCACCCTAATATTCATAGCAGCATTATTTACAATAGCCAAGATATGGAAGCAACCTAAGTGTCCATCAACAGATGAATGGATAAAGAAGTGGTATCTACACACACACACACACACACACACACACACACACACACAATGGAATACTACTCAGCCATGAAAAATGAAATTTTACCATTTGCAACAGTATGGATGGACTTGGAGGGCATTATGCTAAGTAAAATAAGTCAGACAGAGAAAGAAAGACAAATGCTGTTGATATTTATGTGTCGAATCTAAAAAATGCAACAAACTAGTGAATATAATGAAAAAGAACCAGACTCACAGATATAGAGAACAAACAAGTGGTTAACAGTGGGGAGGGGGCTAAGGAGAGAACAATATAGGGGTAGGGGAGTGAGAGGTACAAACTCTTAGGCATAAAATAAGCTACAAGGATATCTAGTACAACATGGGGAATATAGCCAATATTTTATAACCATAAATGGAGTATAACCTTTAAATATTGTGAATCACTATATTGTATGTTGTAAATTATATAATATTGAACAGAAATTATACTTCAATTTAAAAGGACTGAAAAAATTGCTGGAACAAAAAGAGAATTTAAGAACATAAAACAGTATGAGAGGAGAATTATTTCTCCACTGTGATGATGGTGGTAGAAGTCTGAGTAACATAAACCTCTGGGCTGAGAGAAATTGTCAAGCCAGGAGTTGATATCCAGTAAAAATATTTTTCATGGAGAAATAGACCACTCTTAGGCTACTCTCAGGCAGCTGTGGCTCCTTCCCCGACCTCCTGACTTGAATGTAAGTTCTCCTTTCTGGCCCTGCTTTAGTATCACTTTGACCAATAAGTCTGCGAATCTACAGGGCCATGGGGATATGGTCATCAGAGCCCACACCCTGCTTCCTTCTAAGTGATGCTCCACGGATCTAGAACCCCAGGATTCTGTGTTGCAATAGCTTCAACTTACTTTTTTAAGCTTGTGCAGAACATTTCCCCAGGTTTATCTACTACAGGCTGGACAAAATCTCTGCTGTAACTCTTGTTGCACACCAGGCTGTTTGAAGAAAAATGATGGCTGTTGGAAGATACAGGTGGGATTTTGAACAGAGTACAATTATGTGGACAAGTCCACACTCAGGTCCTCAGGAGCTCAAGAAGTCAGAAATGTAGGTGGGCAGGGCTAGGAGTATCCAGGTGTACTCTTGCACTGGGCTCTGAAAATGTTAAGGGTGGGCATATACAAAAAGATTTTCACAGGAGTTTGTTAACAGTAGAACTTTGCTAAACAATCTAAATGCAGTTCTTTATTCAGAAGGCAAAATAAAAGACAAATTTAAAAATACTCTAATATTCAAAAGAAAGAATAGAAAAATAAAACAAAACCAATACAAAATATAAAATAGGGCTATAGGTCAAAAAATAATCAGTAATCAGTTTAAATATTAGTATAAATCTTCCCGCAAAAGATAATCAGACTAGATGAAAAAAATATATCCACCTTTACAATGTTTAAAAGAAATACATGTAAAATATAAGAAATGAAAATGTTGAAATCCAAGAACACACACACACACATATCCAAATGTGAGTATATACATATGTGTATATTTATATATAAATTCTATACAAAAGAAATGGTTGTAGCTATATTAATATCAGACAAAAGAAACTTTAAGGGAAAAGGTAATACTGGCCACCTGTATGAAAACTTCATGATGATTAAAGCTTCAATTTATCAGGATAATATAACAATTTTAAATTAGCATGCACCTATGAATATAACTTTGCAATTTATTTTTGGGTTAAGTTTCTCTAATTTCAAGCCACAAAACAAATAACTAAATTAGATAGAAAAGAAAAATTTTGTTACAAAATGTATTGATTAGCTCATGGTGTTGGGAGGGCCCCAGACAATTAGGAAATAGAATAGAATGCTAGGCTTTAAGACCTGCAACCAAGGACATAATTCAAGGAGCAGTCAGTGTCCTGTGCCACAGTATGCGCTGGCACTGCAGGGCACCGACACTGCTGTCTGACACAGCAGCTGCCACCACCTGATGCCAGCAACACTTCTGCTGGATCTGCCTCAAAGAGTCAATTATATCATCTCCTATTTACCCTTGTGTTACTTGTTTAATATCAGAGGTCCACTTCTTTGTGTTTCAGCTTTTAGAGATCAGGGAAAGAGTATCTACCCTCTTCGCCTTCCTTGGGGGATAATGCAATATTGTATCCTCCTTTTTTAAAGTTTTGTTTTGATTAGGAGTGGAGTAAAGAGCTTCAATCATTTAGGTAATTACCCCCATTTTCTGAGATACAAAGTATTACATAATCTCCTAAAAAATATATGACCACCTAGAATGAGGAGTGTGTGTGTGTGTGTGCACACGTGCCTATTTAAGAAAGAAAAACAGAGCCAAACGTCCTGACTACCAATTCCTTTCTGTGTTCTGGCTACACCCCTGTACACACACACACACACACACACACACACACACCGCCGACACACACATTCGCCTAGCAGTGATATTTAGTAAAAATGAAATGAAATGAAAATTAAGGTATATTAAGATAGACTATCAGCCTAGCAAATAACAGAATAAAAACTTCCCTTAAAACTTTAGCCTAAGGTTCAAAGATTCAATTTTTCATGGAAATTACCACTTAGAATGAATTCTACTTGCCTTTTCATGCCTAACTCTGAATGGGATTTCTAAATGATTGATTCATCTGCAAGAAATGTTCCTAAAATCACCTTAATAATTAAAAGAATAAAATTCAATTTCCTAACAAAAAAGATTGTCGCACACTCACTCCTAACACACACACATGCACACATACACATATAGTACTGAGATCTTTGTATATGGAACTCTGCCTACCAGTACTCGCTTAGCCTAGTCATAAAGAAGCTGCTGGAAACTTGACAGGGAGAGGAAAGTTGACAGCTTCTCATCAAATATCAAGCACTACTGTGTTTCTAATGTCAACCTGGATTTGACATTTAATTGTAAAAATATCTTAACATAGGTCTACACACAATAAAACAGATAGCAGCTACAAAACATTTTGTCCTATTTAATGCTTAAAAAAGCCTCTTGCCCAGAAGGCAGAATTATTTTAAGAAAAGCATCAGTGCTGTACCTCTGGGAATACTGGCAGTACTAAAAATAAAGCATTTTCACAAGTTCAAGATATTGGATTTACCTCATAAAGAGAAAATAGTGGTGTTTAATAAGAACATTGGATTGCTGTGAATATAGAATTTCTATTGGTATGTTTAGTTACCAATTTGGATAAAAGTATACTCCACTGACATGTGCGTGTGCGTATGTGTGTGTACATGTGCATGCATATGTGTGTGTGATCATTCATGCATATACATGTATATGCATAAACCATACCTATATCATATAAGCTCTGGCAATTGAATTTTATAGATTGTATCTGTCTTGAAAAATAAGGGCTTTATCAGCTCATGAAAAATATTTAGAGATTAGAAATGACAGTATATTTTGATTTTACAGAAAAACAAGTACATTCTTAGTATAACATAATGAGTGATAGATAGACAATATTTTTTCACCATATTATCAACCTAATAAAAATGCTTCAAATTTATTTAAATGTGACAAGCCAATGAAAAACAACTTTTGGTAAATAACAGCAGATTTCAGTATGTGGTTTTCAGTGTATCAGATTGTATTAGGAACTGAAAGTTTAAGATCCTTCATTATCCCTTAAACTTCAAATTAGTCAGATCATAAAACACTAGGCTGAATTTAGCACAATCAAAATTATAATCAAATTATTTATTTATTACCATAAAAAGACTTTGAGTAGCAGTATCTTAGAAAAGCAAATATAAAGTCTGGTTTAAAATACTAGCTCCTTCCTGTGCTAGTAGTAAACTTGGCATTACCATCATGTCATGTACATTCCTTAGAACCCCCTTCCTTCAGTGGTTCCAGATTAGAATCTGCCAATGAATAGCCCTCACATTTGTCATAAAAAGCAGAAGAAAAGTCATTATACCCTTGTGAGATACTGATGGCCAAACATGGCTGCCACTCAGCTTTCTCTGCAATTTCCAGCTTCCCTACTGCAAGTTGGGACAGTAGGTAGGACCATACCCAGATAATTGAAAATTGTGGCACTATCCCTGCGATCATTTAAAAGCCATTTCATTTGGCTGGCCAGGCTGATGGTTTCTGTGACTGTTTCTCTGACCTTCCAGCAGCAGCCTCTTGACCTGCACAGCCCCCTCTCTTTCTACATGTGCAGAAGTCCGAACTCCTTTATTAAACCGTTTTGTCTCATAATATTTAGTATGGCTCTATTTACTTGTGAAAATCCAGGGTGATGACGTTCATTAAAAGATGTAATACTTAGACCTTAATGACCTACACTGAAGACCTGTAACAATAATGCAAATAAAGTAGCTATATAGCATTTAGGTAATTGCTCCATGTGCCATCACAAGGCAAGGCTGGCCTCTTATCCAAATAAACAACAACAACAACGAAATCAAAAAGCAACTACCAAAAGAGCAAAAAGCTCTCCTTCCATGTGGAGGTTAATGACCTAAATTTTATTTTTTGATATCCCTTCTAGATATGTTTTTATTTCCTCTTACATGGGAATACTCAAAGGATTATTATCCTACATGACAGCATTCACATGTATCTCACTGTGAACAACAATCTAGGACTGTATTCTCTACCAGGGCATGCCATTCTAATGTGCTTTATTAGTTTACTTCTATCTAATTTCAACTGGTCTCTTCAAGCAGAGAATGGTTATATCTTTTGGCTGAGACAAGACTTAAAAAATGGTCTGTAAAACTAAATACCAGTGTTTCCTTTGTGAAAAAAAATACTCAGAAAATAGTTTGTCCTTTATATTTTAATGTACACTGCTTGTGGGCAAAGACCAAGCCTTGTCTGTCAACACACACACCTTTTGCCTTCTCAACCACAGTGTACAATACAGTACCTACACATAAGTACATACACATTCTCTCTAAATGTTTGTAATTTAAATAATGAAGTTTAGATTCAGGTGAGGTGAGGGACAGGGAGGTTGGACAGAGAGCCATACCTCTGGGTGAAGTAGAAACACTATGGTTAGATTATATTTACCGCATAGACGTGGTAGGACCAATCCATGTCATGGTAAGAATAAGAACAGAATGCCGAAGATATTCTGTCTTCAATCAGAGGCTATTCTGTTACATATACTTGTGTAAGTACATGTACACTCATCTGTAGAGGAAAAAATTAAGCCATTATATTTTGCTTTTTTGAACTTGTCAAAATTATTCTGTTTGTTTTATAAAATCTGATGCTTTCAATAATCTTATATAGGAGAGATAGCCACTACTGACATAATCAAATTTGAATTTCTCATATATCTTTTCTCTATGAAGCTTTTGTTTTCTAACTCAAATCAAATTATTCACGCCTCTCTTTGTGACCTCATTTTATATTACACAAACTATTATCATAGCAATTTTAACATTTTATCATACTTGTTTCTTTACTAAACTGCTAAATTCCTACATTGTGCCTGCCTTGGAGACAGAAAGCTAGCATTGAAAATATGTACTTCTACGTCAACCAGAGTAGCCCTAAGAGAATTGCTTGTTTAATGAGTGAATGAATGTTTTTGAATAAATGTAAGGAGAAACTATTTTTTCCTATAGGTTTGTACATCCAAAATTATTTTTATTTGAAGACTTGGATAGAATGTCCTTCATTTATAATCAGACAAGGGAGAGGGCACAGATAAGGATAAGGAAGAATATTTGGCTCATTACACCCAAAGTGAAATAGACAGTGTCAATGAAAAAAATGTTGCCTGCCATATCACTAAACAAAGGATGTTGCAGCCATCAAGCCATCACATTACACCCATCCCCTGAAGGTGCCTGAGGGACCTCAGGATAAAAACAGAATGCCTACCACCAAGCCATCAGCCACTGCAGCTATCCCCAAAGGTGTACCCTGAGGAGCATAGCAAAGGAATGATTTCAATGAGGCCAGACTTTTGCATCTTCCCATACATAGAAAAGGGCTAAATCCATTAACTTGAGATTTTTAATTAACAGTAATCTTTTGATGTTCCGACTATCTGGTCTTTGTTGCAAAAACTCCTGTATATCTTGGATTCTCCCTTATCTCTTCAGAGAAGTTTCTCAGAGCTATCTGAGAAGCTGATTCCTGGGCTTCAAGTCCTCAGTTTTGTTGCAAATAAAACATAATCCTCAACTTTTAGGTTGTGCATTATTTTTCAGTCGATAACAACGTTGATCTACCTCTGCACACTCCATCTGTGTTTGTCTGCAATTATCGTTTTTACATCTAGTAGTAGAAAAGGTATTTTTGTTGGAGGAAAAGCTGGAGGGGAAAAGAGAGAATTTAGGGTAGATGATGACTTGTATGTTTCCTTTGTGACACCAGGGAAGAAACTTGAGCAGCTAGGAAGCAGAGGTGAGGGCCACAAGTTCCCAGGATTGCATAAGAAAATTATGCAAGTCTCTGACCAGGAGCACAGCTGCTTTGATATTCAGATGATCACATGTGATAACAGGTTAAGAGGAAACAATTTTTTTTCTGTCACAAGGGTGAGCTCTGCATCATTCTGACTCTAAATGGAAGAGAGTACTCAGAGCACTAGGTGATAGCATTCCTGGTAGCAATGCTGTCATTTCAAGATGGTGACTGGCAGTAGTGAGGTTTCCACAAGCAACTGTGTGCTAAGTAGGTGTGGGCAAGTGAAAGCTGAAGCAGGAGTGGAGGCCAGGGTAATACAGTGTGGGGACGAGAGTTCATAAATTCACAACTGGCTGTGTGCGAAAGGCTCCTCTGAGATGCCCAGAAATAAGTGTAGGATGCCATGGAAGGGAGAGCTGGGCTCACACCATTACACAGGTCAGAGCTATTAAACTCAAGAGTCATTTGAGTAAAAGGATTGACAAGCAATTTTGAGGACCCAACTGAAATTGGAAACTATAAATCTGCCCCATCTGGCAGAGTTATGTGATTTTTCTGCAGGAAAGCTCAGGAGCTCAGAAGATGGAAAATGTCTGTGATTAGAGAGATCCAGGTTGAGAGTATGTTTGGAAGAAGTTAGAAGAAATGCAGGAGAACAGGGGTCTGAAGATAAGACTAACAAGAAATGTCCAAATAGGATGATGAAGTTCATTAGGATGTAAAGCCAAGAAGCATCATGTGAAAAAAAAAAAAAAAAAAAAAAGCGACAGTTTTAAAGACCCAAGTGAAAAATAAAAATATTGGGTTGGCCAAAAAGTTCGTTTGGGTTTTCCCGTAACAGCTTATGAAAAACCCGAATGAACTTTTTGGCCAGCCCAATATTTAGTGGGGATAAGCATTTGTTAGCAGAGAGAGGGATTTAGGGTATAGTTCAGTTTATAGGATTATAAAACCAGACTTTGGCTTCAGGGGTAGTTTACTGAAGAAAATGATGTGAAATCATAGTCATTAAAGTATAATTCAGGATGCAATAAAGTTACGTGGGATAGTGAAAATTGTGGAAGTAGAAACAAAATGAGTGAGCCATTACATTCTCAGAATGAAGGACTACAACCTGATATTTAAAATATGTATTAATTAGGAAAAGTAACAATAACTATTCTTAATATCCTCAAATTTCAGTCATCAAAACAAGAAAGCTTTTTCATTCACAGCACAGTGCAAATGAGTGTGTGGCTGGGCGATAGAGGTACTCAAGCTTTGTCCATTCCCTTGAGCCCTTGGCAGGATTTGCTTCATCTGGCTGGGAGACAGGGAAGGGAAAGAGGGAGGAGGTTCTACTGAGATGTTTCACAGCCCAGCCCTGGAAATAGTACACCTCAGGGTCACTGACTTTCCTTTGGCTGGAACTCAGAAGGCAAATCGTAATTGCAAGAGAGCTGAGAAATAGAGTTTAGCTGTGTGCACAGAAAAAAGAGGAGAAAAATGAATATTGGCAGCATCCACATTCTCTGCCACAGCAGGTGATGGTGAAAACATTGCTGTGTGGTGTGAATCTCCAAGAAAATGAATTTACAATGGAGAAGAAGAACAATAACAACAAAGGTCTAGCGTAGATCTAGGAAAATTCTTAGCTTCTTCCCGGAGAAAGATTTTGTGAGAAAATAAGTCACTTTCTGAGGCTATTTTCAGGAGCAAATATTATTCAAATGAGGGCTCTAAATACCATCTGCAAAAGCAATGAGAATGGATTAGAACTTTATAAGACAAAGTGTCAAAGGGAGGATTAGTTGTGAGTGACGATACTCAGAAGAGGGGACACTAGATGAGGAACTAGATAAACAGATGAAGGGAGGATTCTCCCCATCGGCATCATAGGGTAATATGGAAAGGAGAAAGGACAGTCTGACAGGGAAAGAATACTGGGGTGATATATGCCAACAATTTCAAATATAACTTCAGTAAAATCAAATTTTTAATTGTCTGTGACTATTTCTGTAACCAGGTGCCCCATGTGTCAATGGTTGTGAAGGCAAGCAGGTAAATAACTTCTAACAGGCATCATCAACCTTTCTGGTGGTATATTTCTGTGATAAGAGCATAAAACAATATCTTATTTACTTATTTTCAGGAAATATTTAGATATGCTGTGATAATCTTGAGTAACTAATTATTTCATTCTCTATACTTTTACCTATCCTTTCAAAGAATACATGTTTATAGTCTCTTGCTATTTGCTTGGCCCTGCTGGAGAACAAAAATACGGGACAGTTTAACCTCAGAGTGAGAGACACCACTTAAGTGGATAACACATGCACACCCATATGTACACATTCTCACACACAAATTAGAGAGCTTGTTTGGCTGTCCAGGAAACACATGCATATGTTGTGGGACAGGCAGTAGATACAATGTGGAAAGAGTGCAAAATAACATGCTTTCCCAACAGCAGGCCTTTCTAGGGAAATTCTAAAAATTCTAGAGTTTTGTGTTGATAAGAAAGAGGAAATACATGAAGAATTGGCAGGAGACAAAACTATAAAAGTTGGTACCTGCCAGAGCATGAAACACCTTTGGCTCCATGTTAAGGCATTTAAGCCTATAATGACTCACTTAAGAACTATAAAGGGAGAAATGGCTTTGCCAATGAACATTCTGGGAAGATCACTCTGGCTGTTGTGTGAAGAATGGAGAGGAAAACAAAAATGGTTGTGAAAATTATTAGGAGGTTATTCCAGTTGTTCAGGTTAAAGTGGTAAATCCTAAACGAGGTTAATGACCAATGAAAGTGAGAGAAGAGAATGGATATAAGAGATGTTAAGAGTGCAGATTCTGTAACTCGTGGCTAACTGAAAGTAGAGGATGAGTGAGATCAGAGAGACCAAGAGTGATACTGGCTGAGTGAGTCCATTCACTGAGATGAGGAAAACAGGAGGACAAGATCATATCATAAATATCTTGCTTTGAGATACCTATGTGGAGATGCTTTGTATGTGATTTGAACTTTAGGTATGGAATCAACAGAGATGATTTAGTTGGAGATCTTGCTCTGAGATTCATCAGCATTTACACGGAACGTAAAGTCATATTGTGTATGAGGTCACCAAGGTAGACAATGTATAAAAGGATTTGGGAACAGAAAATGTAAGAGATGATTGGAGGAAGAAAGTAATATAAAAAATGAAATAAATGTGGGAGGGAAATCGGACATTGTAAACTTACAGAAATGAGAAAAGTTTCAAAAAAAAGAGAATGGTCAACAATCATAAATAATGCAGAAAGCGTCAGGAGACAGGAATGTGTTGAATCAGCCTTATGAGCAGGATGACAGAACTATTATCTTAATAATACAAATTGCAGAGGCATTGCAGAGGTCAGGGTGATGGATTTCTTAAAAGAAATGACTTTTTTGTCAACACTTTTCTGTAGTAATATCTAAACCAGTAGTGTCCAAAATTTGATTTCATATTTCTTTTGTAAAAGTAATTTAAACATGCTCCTCATGTACATATATTGAATGCATAAAGAACAAAGATACTGCTCATGCTGTTAGAAAACAGCAAACAACAATAAAACAAATACAACAGAAAGTGTGATTGGAGCAGCAGAGTGTATCAAAGAGATACTCAGCTAAAATAACATCTGGAAGTGAAGAGTAAAATACAGTAAAAAGTACTGGAGTTCTATGTCAGGGTATTTGATTTATGTCATCTGCCTCAATTCCTTCCCATAGTTGACTTAATGTTTAGGAAAGATTCAAGCTG